TTTCCCATAAAGTTTGAGGGTATAGTGCAAATTATAACTTCTTTCATAAGGTATTCTTGAGTATTTACATATGCCTATTATATTTAGCTTACTATTTAATTAGTGCCTTCTTAGCATTTGGAATACACTTCCTTAATTGCAGTATATCTGTTCATTGTCTGTTTTGTTGTGTTAACCTGTTGAAATGTCATGGAACGTAAGCCAAACAATCCAGCAGGCCGTTCAGTGAATATCAAACGGTCTAATAACCTTTCCAACGTTAAGAAAGACTAACGCGAAATAATCAGTGGTACATCATGGACAGGCCCATGTATCAATGTCTCTTGACTGTTTCTCTGCAATCTCTTCTTCCCAACCTATGCTATTGTCGAAAATGTAATAATAAGACGAAGATTATCAGAACTATGTGATATATTAGCGCAATACGTTTCGAACAATCTGATCACACGTATACTCGTTAAGAAAACATTTAAATATAAAAATAAAAGGTCAACTGAACTGGAAATAGGGGATAAAGGGAGACAAAGACAATAATAGTAATGATGAAACAATTGAAAACCCTATCACTCTGGATAGTAAGATAATGTTACTAGGTTAGGTTTAAGGTGAGATTATTTAGTTCATTCAATCATTAATCCTTTCCATATTCATGCTTATCTCGATGGGATATGCGAATTTGATATTAATTATGGAGTGTGACTCAGGAGAAAGCTGTGCGATCACACCATTTCCATTTAGCCTGAGTAGACCAACCATCCATATGGGTCATCTACTCTGGTGACCTATGACCTCATTGATTTCCCTATCTCAATGTTCTTTATTCTAATTGACACTGTCTATCGTGATCTTGGCATTGATATTAGCTGCAAAACAAATTGTCGTATGGTGATATAATCAACTTTCAGTTTGTCTTTTGAAATAATCTCTCAAGTCATGGAATTTGTTTCCATTACTCTCCTCAACACAACCAAGTAACCTGCTGTCTGGTAGTGGGATGGCTGTTGATTTCAGAAAAACGACTACACTGAAACAAACTGTGGTGTTTATATGAACTAATGATTTATTTTCATTGATGACGGTTTTGATTTTGAATTCCAAATACAGAACATTCGTTAGGGCTCACCTAATACTTCTTGATTAACTTGCGTTGTTTCTGAGATTACTAGTTTATACTATAATTCAAATAGTCTTGAACACCACACGAACCCACTGATTGCGATCACAAAGTATATACCACGACTAATATCTACTAAAATGACCTGTATTGCTGCAGTAGAGTGATTAAATTACCATCGGTTGAGCATTAATGAGAACCTGAGGCTGTATTTGAGCAGTGAGAAGAGAATGCAAGTGTATCATTCGATTTACGCAAGCTCATTACGAGGATATTAGATTTTATAGCTTCCATATACTGTACTGGGTGCAGGTAAATATCTGATAAATTACGTACATTCAAATGCAAGAAACGAAAAGACACCCACTGTTTGAAAAAATAGTAATATTTTCCTCTCTGAGGTAGTTTTGTTGTTTTGATCGTTTATTACACATCAAGACTACTGTTTTCGCTTTAATTAAATTTATTACACTTAAAATTATCGCCAAAATTATCGCCTTTTTTCAAAAGTATTTTATCATCTGTACTTTGGAGTACGTTTGTTCTTTCTCTACTTGCTAACACATTTGGTTCTAACAACTTACAGCATTTCACGTCTTTCTGGTCATCAGTTTCTTTTGCCTTTAAATATTGCTCGTGTCGCGTTTCCTTTCGTAAACCTCTGATTGATGACTGGACAATGCGAAAAGTAATTTCCGAAAACTAGGCTGGCGATAAGCTGTGAAAAAGGATATGTAGTGCGATGATAGCAAAATATGGTACCACGACATTTACACGAACCTAACGTCTGAGGCTTTCGAATGGTTCAGTAAACATAGTTATCTGTGGTTGCACCAGAAATGCTGATCGGACGCAAATAGCTGGCTATCCGAAGCCATTGCAATGGTGAATGCGGCTAAAAGACGTATTGACAAGTACAGTCAAGACACTCTGAATGGTACTTGCTCAGTCGAAACACAAATCCATGTAAAACTACCTCAACTAAGCCCAGAGTCGATTGACTTACATTAGCTAACAGAGGAAGGTTGACCTATAAAGACCTCTGTTATAAATAAAAGCTCAATAAAGGGAGTTTCTTCTCTCCCTCACTACAGATATGGCAATGTGAGGAAAACGCATGGGAATCCAAATCGAAATCCTAGGTATTTTTCTAGCACGAAGAATAACGATCTGACTACCCAAGTCATCGACAATCGCCGACTATTCCACAGTGTGTAATGCGATTGTGATTGCTACCCCTATGAATGTTGATGAATAGTTACAGATCAATAATAAAAAACGACATAGCGTTACTAAAAAAATTCACTCCAACAGACAGTAACTGAGAAGGTGAAGACAGTTAGCAGTGATAAGTCCACAATCTTTCATAGTGTCAATGAAATTGAAAGCCCAAAACCCATAAGTCATTTCGAGTATGACGTTGAGTTGATAGAAAAACGAATAAACCAGTAAATGCCCCAAGAATTCTCTGGAGTTACCTTTCTAAAGGACTGTAGACTAGATACCCAAATGGATTTGAAAAAGAATCAAATCAGGCTTCTGAAAGTGGTATTAACATCTTTCGATAAAAGGGACCTAACACTGCAGAATGGATATAAACTAAAGGAATCAGGATAATTTGTCTTAAAAGTGTACTGCCTACGGACCTTATAAGAGACGAGAAGCCGAAAGAACTGAGATTAGGGCTAAATACTGGCCAGAAGGACCTGGAAGATTGTGAATTTTGAAGTGGTAAGGCTTCAAAAGGTAATCATACTGGAGCCACTTTGGGTGCAGCATGAACTCATTTAAAATGTCATGGGATCTGTCACACAAATACTCGAAACTTGCTCAGCAAGCAATCGGAGCTATGTGTACAGACAGACTCGGATGTAATTACAGTTACAGAAGCACGGTTGACACAGTATGTGGGCAGTAGAACAATTGATTTTGAAAGTTTCGTATTAGCAAGAGCCGACAGAATACAGGATTGTAAAAGAGGAGAAGTAGCTCTGTTCATCATAACAGTTAACAGTTAATTTGCAAAATAACAGTCAGTTGTTTCAATCTTCGCTTCTTCTGTAAATATCAGTTCATCTTCTCTAATTCCATTGTTCATACATTTTCCTACCAACTGTGCTTCATTTCAGTTCTTCCCTCTTCGGTCTTCTGCCAAAATGCATTCTGTGTCTGACCATCGCCATGTACTACTTATATGCATATAATTAGACCCCACCACAGAATGTGTGATTTGATTGTTAACCGTTTGAAATGCAAAAGACAATAGCTGCTAATTGGTTTGCCGCACCACAGTTCAAACTGAGAGGTGATACCGGTCTTGATAGACAGTTTCAACTCCTGGTCCTCGAGCGGTCGATGTTTAATCTTAGGAGACCTAAATGTAAATACTCTGGACTGGGAAAATCTGAGGATTGAATTGTAAGAAAGCTCTACCGAACAGTAACTAGTTGATGCGATTATCGCATGGGAATGTGGCAACTAGGTGCCACCCAAACTCTGAAACATCCTTACTAGATCTCATAATGACCCATGCTAAAGGTGATGTCGCAATTCTCTATTATATGCCACTCCCAGGTAAAAGTGACCATGAAGTTCTAGACTTTGGTTTCCATATAGTTGTCAGTAACAAGGATGTGTTAGCCGAAGTCAGACAAAACTTCTGGAAAGCAAATATACAAGATAATATACACTCAGATTCCTCTGAGGATTGGTTCATAAGATCAGAGTCCCTCGTCCATATGGCTTAGGCTGTGATCGGAAACATGTGCGTACAAGTTGCTGCATTGCGCATTCCTTGAACTACATCAAGGGGACCGAAAAATCCCCAACCATAATTCAGTAGAAAGGTTCGCACCCTCCTCTGCAAGAAGTGAAGAAGTTGAGAGAAATTCAGTTTACTGGTTACTGAAAAGAAGGAATCCTAATATCGGGCAGCTCGAAAAATTGATACCGTCCGCGAGTCTAAGAGGTTGTGCGACGAAACACTTGTCAATGAATCTATAGAATACCCTTAACGCTTTACTCGTACATAGACCAGAGGACTAAGGGGAGAGGAAATATTCCAGTATTATGGAAAGTATTACTGCATAATCAGTGGGGGAAGATTGTAATGAAGCTAAGGTATTCACAAACTACTTTGGCAATGTTTAAACAGTAGAGATGCCCTATCATTCAGTTCTACAAACCCCTCCCATACACACACACACTGGACACTGTGACTACTAAAGAACTCAATGTCTTCAGTCTGCTAAATGAGCTTGATTTAGGCAGATCCATGGAACCTGATGAAATGCACCCTTGGTTACTATGGGAATTGGCAAGTTTTGTCGCGAATCCCTTAAGCACATGTTTTAAATCTAACTGACGCAGTTGTTAAAACTTTCAAAACGATTATTCAGAAGGAGTTGTTTAGGTATGTCAACGAAAACCACAATCTTTCTGACGAACAGCATGGCTTTAGAATAGGGTATTCATGTCTCCTATCATCATCGGTTTTGTTGTATGCTACTTAATGAAAAATTCGCATCCTAGATGCCCTCACTTCTCGCGTCTTCCAAAACAGAAAATTTACGAGGACGCTTCAAAACGTTTACAATCCCAGAAAAGATTACTTGTCAGATGACTATCAATTTTGCAATGGAATCGTCATTGATTGGAGTTCATTAACTTAACACTTGATTGAAGCTCAATCTGCCTGAGCTTTAAAGAAAAACAAGATCAACTGAGAGACCACAAGTGACAGGATTAACAGAAGCCATCTGGTCACTTGTCCTACTCACACTAAAACTGAAGTAGCATTTAGTTTTAGTTCACATCACTAGGTAGCGCGCTCTAAATAGTATGTGCGTTACAATGTCATGAAAGGCTTACTTGGTTCCACTAAGTTATGGCCTCTGAAGAACTCAATAACCTAGTTGTGAGCAAAATCATGTGTTAGTAACTTATCGTCATTTTACAGAGAAAACCATCCGCAAGACGTTCGAAGCCCGATATGGCGGCTCTAGTAGACCAACAGAGGTTGTTCCAAAGTCCCTGGAGTCGAAAGCCTTTATTCCAGCTAGAATCACTTGTACCAGTTGTATCTTTGCATGTAAGAGTGTTTTATAATATTCTTGATACTGGTTTTAGGATGTAGGATCTCAATCAAGTAGTATTGAACGGGTCGATATGACATCATTTGTTGCTGAAAAACGTTTCCTCAAACACCCATCTGTTAGTTTCAAAATACACAAGTTTTGTTTCTTTCCCTTACTTTACTTTGTCACCCAGTTTTGAGCAAATGTACGGAGATTCATTTTTCCGAACTTGGTTGATGTTAAAGTGTTAGCCATTTTACTTACTACTAAAATGTTATGTTTAACAGTTTTTCAATATAGCCCTTCAGTATTTGTAGCAGTAAACTTAGTTTGCCTGGTTGTGTGCATCTGAATGTAACACTTGTGTAGAGAAGTCTGTTATGTAGAAAATGTTTTCGGTATATTTTTTTCTTATTTAATATTCTGAAAGATACGTCAGTCAGTGATCTTGAGTGCTGTTAAGTGTATGAGGGCAGTTATCACTTCCCGGCTGCCCACACCATGGAAGGGTTCTTCTAGAGGTACCTGAAAAGAAAATTGTGTTAGAAGTGGTCTTAATGACCTGAGGGCTTGACCGCAATGCTCAAGGGACAACTGCTTGAGGTCGTTCACACACGACCTTTTTGTAAGTAAACTTTTTTGCGTTAGCTCCGTTCTTGTTGGGACCTTACCGACGAAGACGGATATCCGTAGGATAAGGCGAGGTGTGCATTTTTACGACCGACTTTTCTAACTTCACCCCTCCTTGTGAGAAGGCATCATCGCTGTTTTGCTGGTTGTCTGAAGGAAACACCTTACTGCTATCACACCTCTGTACAGTCAGCAGTAAGACTTCGGACCTTGGGTTTGCTGCTTTTAGTCTTACTGCTCTTCAACCGACCTGTCTGGCATGGTAGGAACGATGTTACGGCCAGTATAGCTCGATTGGTTTATCACGATAGGCAAGCGGGACCAGCACATCAAGGTAGCAGCAGCGGTTGTTACATGTAATATAAGATTTCATACACACATTTTTCGCCAATTGTTACAACAATGTCAAAATGTAGCAGCAAAAACGCGAGGTAGTAGTGTTTATGATGACGAACAAGAAGTCTGACGTAGTTATAACAGACCGATGAAGCTGGGAAGTTTTGTTATGAAAGATCAGAAGAAAGTAGTTGTTGCACCAACATTCACACTGCTGGTTTACAGCTACTCAATTCCAAAACCCCAATTATTTCGTTAACTGTGACTAGGAGGTCTTTTCCTTTCAATATGAAGCAACCACATTCACTGCCTTAATAAAATGATAGTATGTTTTGATCGAATAATCCTTAACCTCCTACTATTTTTCTCATATTCTGGTAAGCGCAACGTACAGAAGTTTGAGGTAATGGATCATGGTTGATTTGTGTTCTTATCATGTGAACTGATAATTTCACAACATCAACTTTCCATTTTGTTTCTGACTTTTCCATTTATATTAGCACTGTCCTTGGTGGTTTTGCAATAGTTCGAACTCATCTATAGTCGAATATAATAAACACATTCAGATGAACGAGAAGGTGCTTCGTCGTTTATCAAACATTACATTTATTAGTCTCGTCTTACAGCTTTTCGTTAACATGTGGTATATCGCTTTTCAAGTGAATCTATCTTGTGATAATGGGGATCAGGATATTTTCAGAAAAAATCGCTTAGGACAGCATTCAAATTGCAACCACATTAATTTCTGCCTAAATATTAGGTATGGGCAGTTAATGAAGTGACTATTTTAAATAATGCACATTACTTAGCCTCTTTAAACTTGGGAGTTACGTTACTGCTAACCGGTCAGAAAACAAATAAATGTTCTATCTGTTTCTTACTTTGTACTTTTGTGATTTCATATGCCCTTAGTCCCTTTTCATCATATTCCATTATAATTTTTATTGCACTCGTATATATTTCTATCATTTTTGGACATAGTGTGCTTTTAATTTTGCTGTGCATGTTTAGAAACTATAGAAGACTGTCTTTCATCAAATATGCCTTCTCAATAGTTGTTAATTTACTTCCTAACCTAAGTAGTGCCAACGTCAAGGTTAAGTGACATGTTTGTGATATCTTTTGTTTATGAACACTCAGTTTTCAAGAATATTTATATTATCGATTGCTTCCTTTAGCACTCAGTTAAGTCCGTCAAGGATGACGACAATATGACTGTAAAACGTGGCTCCCAATATGTTTACTCGTTTAATAATTTGGAAGCGAATAAGACTCATGATCAGGTATAGTTTCCATGTAATTTTATTGCCACATTATATAAATTACTACTACGCTACCAAGTCCTTATGGATTCGCCATATAAGTCCCCTTAAATGTTACTACGTGAATGAAATAATTATGATAATTAAACCAACACATAAATGATCACTTTCCGTGTGACAACTACTAAAATGTTCTGAATATTTGGGATCTAATAACCTAGATCTTAAACATTCTACGTCGAGGCACTAGCTGTAAAAATGACACTGTTATTTTTTTTATCAAGTTTCTCCATTATAGTAACATTTAAAGGAGGACTTATTCCTTCATCTCCCATCATATGTCTATATTCTTTTGGAAAGTTTTAAACTAACCCGGTCATAATATCAAATCATCGGACGACGAAGAAAGTTTATGTTTTACCACTAACTAAATTAAGATATATCATAAAAATACTGTCTTTTCAGTCAACATTCTGAAATTTACTAGTCCTTTAGTATGTAACAGTGTTTCATGTAAACTAGTTTGCAAACTCATTAGCCACACAATCGACATCTCAAAGTCGAATTTCGTCACTGTTATAGAGGAAACACTTAGGGGGAACTGGCACATTATAAGCACATTTCGGGATAGCTGACTAGTGAGCAGAGTGCTGATTCACAGATGAGAAAGAACCATACGATTTGGCGGACTTATAGCTACTTTTAAGGTCAAGTTGTATGTATAAACCTCAAGTCAATTGATATCAAAGTAAGGTACAACTGCTCTGTAAAATAGGTTTGTTTCTCTTATAAAATATAGTGTTTATGTACAAAAATATGTATAAAAGTAAATACTAAAATTCCACATTCGCTGTTGGAAGTTAGTTTTTTAGGTCATTTATCAACAAAATAAATTAAGATCTGACTATCGATCTCAATTTTTAGCAGTCATATTGGAGGCATATCTTAAAAACAGGAAAAGAATTAGTGCACCCAAACCTTTTAAAATTAGTTTTAAACCAGGTGGTTTAAGATCTCAATGATTTTTAATTTGTTTAGGTGTAAACCTAAAAAGACGATATTTGTTTTCAACCTTCTTACTTGCTCATACTGATTGAATTTGAAGTAATGTAGATTATAAGTTCTGCTGGAAGCTATAGACAATATTCACAAAGTTTATGTAGAAATCTGACAACCCTGGTTTCATCTAAGCTTTGATATTGAATCGTAAACTTTTTATCTCAAGATTGGTCTTATAAAGCAATGATTAAAATGTTTAGGAGAAATATACTTTGGAAGATATTCTTTTTTGATTTTGGTTAAAAAAAGTGGTTATTGTGTAGTACAGTTTTGTTGTAACAGTTGACCTTTCGTATTTTTTATTATCTACCACAAAAGGGCGATTGATCAGTGTCATAAATAGCTTACATGTTTACCAATCATCTTTATTTGAGGTTCCTATGTGGTCACTGTTTCTCCAAATAGCGATCATAAATAAGTTCAAACGCCCAAATTTTTGTGTGTCCAGGTAAACGTTGGTAGCATAGATTTTCAATCTCAGATAAGATCAAGAGTGTACATGTATAGATATTGATCAGACATGTTAGCACAAAACTAAAATATTCATTTATGACAATGAAATAATATATTTGTAATATTATGAGTAGAAAATCCTCTAAACGAGCGATTTACTTTAAATTATGAAGCGTTAATAATTCAATATTCAGCTCATTGGACTAATATCAATATATTATTTTATTATCATAAACAACCCAACTAATACCTAGTTTATTTAATATTATCATGCTCATTGCAACAGTTTAGGCGTTATATTCATCTTAATTTAAAATGAGGTTGAAGAGGCGGTCAATGGTCTGGTACTGAAGATTGGTGAATGTTAAACAACATGGCATAATGTATTTTCCTTCATTGTTTGTAAACGCCATCGACGACATCCTGGAAACAGCTCTGATGGATGTAAGTAATGGCGGTGTGGATATGTTGCCTGGAGAACGACTTCTCGACCTTGAGTATGCGGATGATATTGTCTTACTGTGCGATAATGCCCAAGGCATGCAATCAGCACTTAATCAGTTGGCAATCAGTGTCCGCAGGTACGGCATGTGCTTTTCACCCTCCAAGTGCAAAGTACTCCTACAAGACTGGCAGGATTCTCATCCTGTACTCACCCTGGATGGTGAGCAGATCGAAGTAGTTGAGAAGTTCGTGTATCTAGGTAGCTATATAAGTGCTGGTGGTGGCGTGAGTGATGAGATTGATGCACGTATAAGGAAAGCCAGATCGGCTTATGCCAATCTGGGCCATCTTTGGCGCCTTCGTGATGTTAGTCTGGCTGTAAAAGGTCGGATCTACAACGCGTCTGTGAGAGCAGTCTTGCTCTATGCTTGTGAAACCTGGCCTCTCCGAGTTGAGGATGTTAGACGTCTCTCTGTGTTCGATCATCGTTGTCTCCGAAGGATTGCTGACATACAGTGGCAACACCATGTTAGTAATGCAGAGTTTCGGCATCGTGTGTTCGGGCACAGAGACGATAAATCAATTGGTGTCACCATCTTGAAACACCGACTTCGGTGGCTTGGACATGTTTTACGAATGTCGTCCCAGAGACTTCCACGTCGTGCATTATTTGCCGACTCTGGGACTGGTTGGAAAAAGCGGAGAGGAGGTCAGTGTATGACATGGTGTCGTGGCATGAAAGAAAGCTGCAAAGGGCTAGCTTCTGTTGGTCCTTCACGACTCCTTGGTTGGGGTCCGAGAGATGGTGCAACACAGTGGCTAGAGACGTTATCAGATATGGCTCAGAATAGAAGCCAGTGGCGATCCTGCTGCAACCTTCTTTTACTTTCTACATAAAGAATGGTTCTAACTTTCTTAACTGAAAGAGTCTTCTGGTTGTACATTTCAGCCC